GGACTCGAACCAGGACGTCTTGGTTCATAGGTCGATGCTCAACCACTGAGCAACACCGGCTGGGCTATATAAATTGTTATTTGCTTTTCCAAGAAGATTAGAAAGAGGAATACAATTCTCTTTCTCAAATCTTTTTAAGAAAAATTAATATAGTAAACCATTATAATTCTACCATCACCTCCACCCATTTTTTTCCCTCAAATTTTATTGCAACTTCCTTAGAAAAATGCTTAGAGAGAAATATAACTTAAATATTATTTTTCAGGAGGTTTCTAATTCTGAATCTGTTTTTATCCTAAAAATAGTACTCTAAGATCATGCTGGGTGTTGTAAAAAAGAAAACTTTTTTTTTTTTGGTAATTCTTACCCAAGGACATCTTTTCCATTTAGTTTTAGAGAGTGGACAGGATGGAGAGAGGGGAAGAAAGAAGAAGAGAGAGAAGGAGAAAAGGAGAGAGAGAGAGAAATATTGATGTCGATCGATGGAGCCAGGGATCGAACTTGCAACTTAGGTACATGCCCTTCCCTGGGAATCCAATTGGAGACCCTTAGGTGGGCGGGCGGGCACTCTAACCACTGAGCACACCAGCCAGGGCAGAAAATGTATTTTTAAAGCAAGTCTTGCCTTTGTAGTAAAATACTACTCTCTAATTATTATAAAATATTTTATCTGTTGTTAACCAACGATTAAAAAACTAATACAGTCCCTACCTGTTCAAGTAGATGAGGATAGCTGGCTTGAACGCGACTGATGAACTCTTGTCCTTTAACTCGTATCAAGTACTCACACCTAAAATGCAAACAAAATTAAGTTTGAGAAGTTATTTGAATCTGGCTGTTTGTAGACTGCTACACATTTTAAATTAGCACAGATATGCATATAACCATTTGACTAATCATGCAGCATATGAGAAGTGTTAAGAGACACTGCAGTCAAAGGTGAGATGATGTAAGCAAGAAGGCTGTAACTGGTAATACTGTTCATAAATTAGCTTTATATGCTTAAAAGATGAAACTATACAAAGAGGGACAAGAAGAAAGAATGAGGAAGCTAAACATTTTCTATTAAGTCAGATATTCACAAGTTTGACATTTCCTAGATAATACACATCCATTGTCAAATTTAAGTACAAAATTAATTCATGACACTACCAAAGCAAATTTACCGTTCTTTTTACATATTCACAAAAAGCAGCACTTTTTAAGACATCTATGTAAAGTATTCTTTATCCCTTCATAATTTTTGAAATCTGAAATATTTGGGGAGCACAATGTTGCTGCAAATGAAGATACAGTTTTATATTTTAAAAAAGCATATGTAATGAAAAGAAGTTAGGATATCAAGTTTAGTAATCACCATTAAATATACTGAAAGTTTTGACCATGAAAAATATAATTATAACCACCTGATTTTAATAAAAAAAGGAGAGTGTAAACAAGTATGGAATAATCAAAAGTATAAGACATGACAATAAAAAGCTAAGTAGTGATCAAAAAGCTAGATGTGATGGGTATTGTGCTCTCTTTCTTTTTATCCATAGTACTTATTACCTTCCAACATGCTACATAACTTCTTTATTAAGGGATTATGTAGCATAATACAGTAAAATCAGTATGAAACCATAAGTCTTGGGCCTGTCCCACTGAGTATTTTAAGTGCCCAGAACAATGCCTGGCAATAGATGGTTGATTAATATTATTGAATGTTGAATGAATGAAAATATGTCCAAGATATAAAATTGATTGAAAAAAGCCTCAAAACAATATATAATTCATGTAGAGAAATTATATACATTTATCTATATACAGAGTGTCCCAAAACACTTCAACAGTTGATAGCTCAACTTTGAAAATGAAATGTGTTTTTAAAAACACTGCTTTTATAATTATTCAAAGTGTATACATTTTGGGGGGACATCCTATATGTACATATGCATAAAGAGATTCTGGAGGATGTTCAGTAAAATGGTAGCTGTAGCTATCTTTAGGTTGTGAGTTCTGGGCATTTTAAATTTTTTGTCTCTGTATTTGTTTATAACATGTGATTTTGGTTTTATAATGAGCATATATTAAAATATATACTAATTATACAGAAAATCCTAAATTTATTTCTTCTTTGTCTTAAATTTCCATCAAAATATTTTAAGTAATTATTTTTCTAAGCAATGCATCCTAAATTTATTCACAAATGTATGTCTGAAACAAAGAATCAACTAATGGCTGACTACAAGGTAAACACATATAACCCATCTCATAATAATCACACACATTTACAAAGAAATTTCAAAACAATTACCTTGGAAACCATTTGGCATGTTGGACCCACGGGTCATCTCCAGATTCCCAACACCTCAGTCCACCATCACAGCAAAAGCATTTGACATCATCATTGTGACCTAAAATTGATGTTGGACCAAAACTTATAATTTGCCCACTGAAATGCATAAAACATTTTGAATTTTTTTAGATTAAGTTTCTTACCCATATAATAAAAACCTGCACTTGCAAGCTGCTTAGGATGAACTCCAACACTCGAGGGCCAGTTACAGAATGTTCTGAAACGGGCGGCCTGCGTCTGCATGCTCAGATTAGAGACACTGTATCTTGAAGTGTCTTGAGGCCGACTTTCTAAAAACGGGCAGTGGGGGAAATGTCTCAGGTGTTCCGACATAGCATCATCCTTTGGCTCCCAGTTGCTCAGTTTTCCACCACAGGCAAAGCAAGCCACCCTGTCTCCAGGTCCTATGTAGTAAAAACCCGCTTTTGCCAGATCGATTGGCGACAGGAAGGTCAATGGCCACGTCTGGAAAGTAAGTAACCTGGCGTGTTCCGTATTCATTATACAGTGGTTGGGACTTCTCAAGGCAGACACATCGTGATTTGGTTCGGAGTTCACAGGACTTGAGGGGAAGCTGGAATAAGAGCCACTGAAATAACCACTGTTTTCCGAACTTGGAAATACTGAATGCGTGGAATTTGTTCCCGAAGAAGGCAAATGAAGCGGAGAGGTGGCTCCCGAAATGTTACCTGAATTTAGTTTCTGAAGAAAGCCACAGCTAGGGTACAACTTTTTATGCTTTTCAATCGGTTTGTCGCCTTGTTTCCAGTTATCCAGCATCAGGCCACAGCAGAAGCATTTGACCTTGTCATTCACACCCGTGTAATAAAAACCAGCGCGAGCAAGACTCCTTTCTGAGACAAGAACACCAGCGGGGAAAGTCGAGTACGTAGACATTCGGTAGAGTTCACAGGAAAAGTCGTATTTCATTTCAGACATGTTGGCGCTTTTCATCAGCTTTGATAAGAATTCGCTGTTTTCTACGAGGTTCATTAAGAAATGGATGGGGAGGAAAAGGGACTAGCCTTTCTCTAGGGAGGTAGTTTTGTGCATGGCTTTGATTTTTCTAGTTTTAGTTCTGGGTTGAACACCTAGAACGGAAATATTTTGTTCTTTTTTTTTTCTCCTCTGTCTTCAGGGTTTCAGCACAGCGAGAGCAAAATCCTGCATTGACACATCTTAAGGAACAATTATGCATAACAGCACCTTTGTATGAGCAGACAGGGTAAGCATGACGCCCTATAGTACCTTGTGATGAAAATGCAAAGCCTTCATCAGTGTAGAGAGCTTTGGGTCAGCAAGATGCCATTTAGAGTCGGGCACTTCACCAGGCAGGTCAGTGCACCAGAAGAACGCTTCAGTGACGTTCAGCCAGCCTAACGGTAAAAGGTCTGACTCACACAGCTAGCTTGCTCCCATGGTGGAAAGTTATGCTTGCTAAGTGCTCTACAGAAAATAAGTATTCTAACTATGTTTGTTTTGCTTTATTTAGAGTGTGAAATTTGGTGGTGGTGGGGGCGGTAGAAAGCATAAGAGAAAAAGAATGCATACCATAGCTCACTGATTCTAAGATGCATGTTTTAATATCTGTTATAGAGAGGTATCTTAAAATTAATGCCATATATTTTAATTAGCAGCATTTTTATTTCTTAGAGGTACATAAAATTATGGTACACCTTATAACTGATGACATCTTAGATTCAATGACATATAGTATATCCCAAATCTTGCTCAGATTAAATAATTTTTCTTCCTACAATCATTTTAATAGGGAGAACAAAGCAATCCAAACTTTTCTTCCAGATAGAGCTTAAGTCGTAACAATTAACTGATACATCTTAGGGCATGGTTTTAAAATTTATTAAAGAATAATCATCTCTCATAAATAGTCAGGAACCTGGTTGCTTTGCAATAGCGATACCATTAGATCTTACTTGGCAAATTAGACATTCTATTTTATTTGCTCAATGGGTCTCCTAAATTCAGCTTCATGCTGTTGAGAGCCAACATCAAATCTTCTACTCTGATAGTGGATTTAGTTTTAAGACAACCAAAAGTGCCAAGTCTATAGGCTAAGATGGATAGCCAAATACAAATATGGCGTGGTTAGAAAATATTCCACAGATAGCATACCTTGAACTGGAATTTATCAAGACAAAATAATAATAAATTTACTTTGTCACATCCACTCCTTTTGAATAGCAGAGACCGAAAAACTCAGAATATCTCAATTATGACTAGCTACGAGTGAATAGGTTCTGCATCAATAATACCAGCAATGACCAATAAACAAATCATCATGGTTTTTCTAGCAGTGATTTGTAAGCATGGTTTCCTGTTGGGATCTTTCTTTTCTTTCTTTTGTTTTTGTTTTTTGTTTTTATACTGAGATTTTCCACTGGAGACTTTAATAGTTTATTTCCAGGTGGCAAAACACACACACACACACACACACACACACACACACATCTCAAAGGTGAGTTATTGTATCTAATTTTAGTTTTTCACTGGTCAAAAACTTTACACATTGTTATAACACCTTCTTGGGGCTTATTATTGTCTCTGTGTAAATTTTACTTCTGAATAAGGTTGTTCCTTTATCAAAATGTAACCACCTAGCCATCATTCTTATTCTTATCAATCTCAGAGGTAACAGCCCATTTGAACAAACTAAAATACCAATAGTCTTATCAATGGTTAGATAATTATTCACCAATCATCCAAGTTCATCTTTCCTACTTTGTCTAAATTTCTTGTACTTATCAAAAAGTTTTGTTCTTGACATTTCTTTGTCATTGTAGAAGTCTTTAAACATGTCAAAGGTCTTGTTTGCATATTTCTCTAATTTAACAGAGGGTTGAATATTAACTCTTTGTTCTAGATAACTGTCATTCATTTCTAAATCTTTAACAAACATAGGTACTTTTTTTCTATTCTACATAGCAGCCAGATTGCTCAGCCAATTTTGAAGAGTACTTCAACAATGTGTCCCAAGTAAAATCATTTCTCCACAAATTAAAAAAACTCAATATTACTTTATAGTTATACCTCACATAACTAGATCATATTTTTAAAATGATAACATTCTTTGGATGCCACAAACTCTAATTAACTACTTAATTTGTTTATCCATGCACAAAACTACCTCCCAGAGATTAGACTAAGTCCCTTTAAGGATTTTAGGTCTCCATGATGAGCTGTTTTGAGTTACAGAAAAAAAATGGAAACAATCTAAAAGAAGTAAAACAGTTTGCTTCCTTTGTAAAACCTGTTTCAAAAGAGAGAGAAAGAGAGTTTTAAAAGTCAAATAATTCATAGAAGTAATACAATTATATTTTTAGAAAATATTTTCCCCAAAATAGAGTACTAGTATTTACTGATTGTCCACTGTGTACAAGTTGCTGCACTACACATGGCAGAGGCCAAGAAATCCCAGACAAAAACCAGAGAGCTCAAACGGGGAGCCAGTAGAGGTATTATGTTTGGCTTACACAGAATTAACTATAATATTTTACTAATTTTAAACTTTTTTATTTTAAAATTAACTTATACTTAGAGAAACCTAACAAAAATAACAGTTCCCACATACCGTGTACTCAACTTCCCCAAAGGTAACATCTTACATAACCATAGTACAATTATAGGAACCAGGAAATTAGCATTGATACAATGCTGTTAATTAATCTGTAAGCCTTGTTTGAATGTCACCAGTTTTCTAAATAAGTACATTTTTGGACCACAGTATTTTTATTTGTTAATTTTTGATATCTTTTTAATGATTAGAGAGAGAGAAACATCAATGTGACAGTGAAACATCCATCAGTTGCCTCCCACCCACACCTCAACTGAGGATCAAACCAGCAACCTGGGCACGTGCCCTGACCAGGAATCGGACCAGCAACCTTTACGGGACAATGCTCAACCAACTGAGCCACACTGGCCCGGGTGGGACCACAGTATTTTTAAATGTTTTAGTTAATTTACCAACATTTTTTAAAAGTAAGAGACTTCCCATAACATTCCCTAGTTTAGAATGTTAGAAAAATGAGAAGAGCTGGCCACATGGGGTCTACATTCCTGCATGGCAACAACCAGCCAGCTCTGAGCAGGACTGCACCTTGAGGAGAGGGCACGTGCTCTCCGATTTGGTGCCGAACGTTCACTCCTTGGTATGGAGACTAACAGTCAGATGCTATTTGCCACTGAGCTGGCTCTACTGATTTCTTATAGTAGAATTATGAGGAAAGTGCAACTGTATCTATCAAAAGTAACACACTGAAAGGGAGACAAAGAGGAACACATGTTTAGAGAAAAATGAGAATACCGTATTTCTTGTGGAAAGGAAGAACATTCCTTCATGTTTACATATGTGTCTTTGTTTAAAAGAGATACCCACAGTTTTGTTCATTTATACCACTTGCCTGGCCCCTGTGTGTTTGAGATCGCAAATCCCTTACACAAGGGGTGGGGAACATCTGGCCCAGGGGCTGTCTAAGGCCCTTGAAATGGTTGGGTCTAGCCCTGCCAAGGCATTAGGGGTGAGTTAATTAAATGTTTGCTCAGATATAGTGGCTAATTTTTAAATTGATGATTGTGTATGGCCTGTGAATGATGTTATCCAAATGGCCCTTGGCAGAAAAAAAAGTCCCCTACCCCTGCCTTACCCAGACCTTACCTAAAGAAGCTTTGATGTGGAAAGAAGGCATATGTTTACAGAAAATGACAATATATACACACCAAGATGCCAACCCTGGATCAGTTCAAACCGTCTTAACCATTTCCAACACCTAGACTTCCAAATGCTGCTGGGGAAGATCTGCAGCCTTGCAGACTGGGACCCAGCATGACTTCAGGCACCACCGTGGCTGGCCCGTCACCATTCCTAGCAATTCTACTTACCCCTGGTCAGCTCCTATCCCACTGCCCTGCGCAACTCTCCTAAACCTTCAATGTTCTCACATTTCTCCTCCACTGCTCTCCATCTTGCTTTCAGTAGGTAGCTCTGCCTTCTATTGTCACGACCTACTTGCTACCTCAGATAACAAGGCTTGCCCCTTGACATGCCCCCCACCCCCCACCCTCCGCCTCAGAAATCTTGCTCTTAACCTCATCCCCCTCATTTGTTCAACTCTCACTCTCTACTGGCTCTTT